ATAAAATATGATACTTATCTGGGAATTTAGAGATAAAACTTCGACCATTCTTAAATATACTATTTTCGAACAACACAATGAGACCATTTGAAGAGCAGCATTATATCATTCGAACAACAATTTACTAACACATAATTGTCACCGTTGTCACTACACTTTTACACACTAGTTATGCATCCCTGTGAAAGTTAAGTTTTTGCCTATTCTTTTAACTTTTATGATTGAACTCACGATTCACGACTTCCTCCAACAAAATAAAGACTCACGACTCACAATCTCCTCCAACAAAATAAAGACTACATGACAAAAAGGCTAATGGGAAGATTAGAACTACCCAAGGTCCTTATTTAAAGACTAAAATTGATAATAAATTAACAAAATCGACCCCACTTTCGTCCATAGTTGTGAACATGTACATATTTTATATATGCATATATTTGGTGGCGTGGAGGAGGAAAGGGGTCAGCCACCAAAGGTGACCGTGGGTCCAGCCTCCTTTGTGAAAGAGATGTGTGTCATTTGCAACAAAAGTTGAATCTATTTTCACACACCAATTGGGGAGGGGATGGCACTTAGCTTGATGGTGACTGGAAGCATGTTTTACTCTGGCTTTAGGCCATTATTATAAAATACACCCACGTTTAGTTGAGTAGGTAAGATTGAACTAGACTATTTCAATTAAAATGTACAAGAGTTTTATTCATTGTTTGGTATGCTGATACTGGACTTATTAAATTGAAAAATAATTCAACATATTGTGTCTTATGAGCGGAATTGATAAGCAACGACTTTGACTCAACTCCAATCCAATATATACCAAACAACCAAACGATATATTAATGATCATAATATTTTCCCAAATAAGATAAATCATAAAAAATGAGTGGTGAGGCCCAAAAGACCACCAAAGAATCAACCACCTGTCTTGAGTCAACTAAGGAATCTTTCAACCAAACTTCCCCCATTGTTGGTTTGCATTTTGAGAAGAAATGATTACTTGGGTTTTATATTGTTGATGACTTTTTGGTATATTTTGATGGAATATAAATAAAGCCTATCGTATGGAGTGGGTTAACTCAAGGGAATTTTTCCAGGCTGAGAAAGACATTAGCTTTAATATTACTTTTATAGGGTATCGACTATTCCTATAGAAAAATGACTTGTAAACTCTAGTCTACAATGTCTTAATTGCCCAATGAATTTTGAAAAGTCGATAGAGCTTGAATCAACTCTTTATTTTAAGTTGCAGCCATTGAACGCTAAAGGTGTAGATTTGCTCAACGTGCCTTCCATCGTGTATCTATATGGATATTAAGAAAATTAAGAGATATGTAGATATATTAATTAATTTATAGCTAAGAAAAGGAACAACATAAAGCCAGATACTTTCTTCATTCGGTTATTAATTAATTTATAGCTAAGATATATGTAGATTTGCAAGTCATTTTCCTGCAATGAGAGCATCAAGTCCTTGTTACATGCTTGAAATGATAAGACTAATGGTGTGTTTACTAAATGTTTTAAAGCCACAAAGGCCACACGTTTGGTGGTTTGGACTACACTGCACTATTTTAATTAAATTGAGTAAGTGTCATGGCAGCTATTCGGTGAACTTTTCAATGTTAGCATTAGACTTATTAAATTGGACAATAGTCCAACATATTGTGTCTTACTCTCATATATGAAGGATATATGGTGTTTTCTATAAATAATAAATAAAAAGGTTCATTTAGACATCTAAATTATCAAAAATTCATTTGATAGGCAACGGAAGACTTTATACAAAATCCTAGAGCCTAAAAACAAAACCTTTCAAAGGATCTTAAGATTCAAAGACTTGATGTGCATTGCAAACTACTATACTTTAAATTAAAAGAGAGGAAGGTAGATAGAAACTCACTCTTAGAGCGAAACTTGAGTCCAACCCAAGTATTCCACCAAGTGACGGTGGTAGGATCCACTTTCTACTTCTCCTCCAAGCTACAAGGTAGTGACCTCCAAAGTCTCCACACCAAGCTTTCTCTTTGGAACGAAGATAATACACAAGAGAAGTATGTGGTGCTAGAAACACTTCTATTGGGACCTATTTTAGCTTGCCTAAGGAAGAGAGATTTGATGCTTTCTCTTACTTCCTCCTCACCTTTGCAAGACTTAAAACCCTAGGGAGAAAGATGAGCTAAGTGGTGAATATGTAGAACACATGGGAGAACCCTAAAGTTCTCCCTCTCTCTCCATTTGGACAGCACAAGGGAGTTGGGCCTTCTCTTGGGCCTCTTGGTCCCAGTTGTGGATCCAGGAAATTTCCTTCCAGGGGTCAACATCTAAAGGTTAAAAAAAATTATACAAAATATACCCATACAAATGAAACGATAATATTATAATTCATAATTAATAGAAAAAACCATATTACAATTGTCCACGACGAATTTTCATATTCTGAAAACGTAGCATTATAATTTCATTATCAAAGAATTTGTTCTATTTTTTCTATAGTGTAAACACGGTAATCATCGCGCCCAAGTATTTGTTAGGAAATCTGTTTCCTCTTAATGGTATAATCATGTCCAACCTGGTTAATCAAACAGGAACTAAAGTCTAGCAATAGTCCTCGCACAAAACGTTTTTCTAGTAGTTAACTAACCAATTTAACAATTTTTAAAAGGTGAAAAAAAATAAAATAAAACTACCCATTTCCAAACCTGCAAAAATGAAAACACCTCATGTTTGTTACATTTACGTTGTTGTCAACAGCTAATTAACTTCCTCTTTCTCTCCCACATATATATTTACCGTCACCAACTCCATTAATTACATGCAAAAACTCAAAGAACACGATTAATCAAAATCCAATATACTATCACAATGCAAATAATGACAAAGCTTGTACTCAACATGTTGCCGTCTTAGTCTTTCCATTCGCCTCCCATCTCGGCATTCTTCTCCACTTTATCTGTATAATCTCAGCCATGGCTCCTGACGTGAAGTTCTCATTCTTGAGCTTTGCTGTTGAACTGGGTGAAGGTTGGTTTAGTTGGGGGGTTGGGGATTTAGGGTTGAGAAGTTGAGAAGTGAAATGAGTTAAAACTCATTTTGGGGTGGGAATTATCGGGCAACAACAGAGCAGCAATTGCTGCCTTTTTTTTTATGTTTTTTTTTTATAAATAAACCTGTGCCAAAACGACGTCGTTTTAGCCAGGTTTTTTTTAAAAAAAAAAACTTAAGTGCAACGACGTCGTTTTGATGTCCAGCTTATAAAAAAAAAGACTCGCGCGGGCTGCGCGCAAGGCTGCGCTGCGCAAAAGCTCCAGCAACACACAGGTTGCCCCTTTGGGGCATTTCGTTGAACACCTTGCGAGGGTCAAGTTTGGCTGCTTTAATGGAGGATTTCAGAGGTTGCATGGGTCAATTGACCACCCTTGCTCCTCTGTGGATCCGCCCCTGCTTGGTCCCACTTGACTCTTCTAAATACCCCATTGCTCCATGGGCCTTTAGTTTCTCAACCTATTCCTAAGGCCCATTCTATTTCAACATAATCAATTAACTCTTTAATTCATTCTCTCTTAATCAATTAATCTAATTAATTAATTGACTTCAGCGTTGATCTTGTCATCTTCCATTATTATCTAAATCGTAAGCTTATGGGTCTGCAATCCATTGGGTTCTAATTAGCGAGGTGGCTTTCAAACTTGGTTTGGGCTGGGCCTGTCCAATGAAAATATATTCAATTATATTTATGGCATGTTTACTAATCCGTAATTAGATTAGGAGGAATTGAATTGAGGAGGAATTAGATTGAGGAGAATTAGATTCTGAATTCTTATTGAAGTTGTTTACTAAACCAGATGGAGTGAGGGGAGTTAGATTCCGGATTCCCATTGAAGTTATTTACTAAACCATATGGAATTGGGGTAAGGAGTGGTATTAATTATTAAAATGTCCTCGTTGTTGGGTTAAAGTATATGACAAATTTGGAATTTTGAAAATTGTGTGAGGATATAATGGGTAAAAAAGATGAATTCCTAATGGGTTAATTCTCTAGGAATTAGAATACCACCTTCCACCTAAGAATTGAATTCCTCCAAAATCAGGAATTCAATTCCTAATTTTGTGTGGGCCCCCACTTACTTTTCAATTCCTTGTTGTGAAGTAAACACAGAAATCCTCTATAAGTGGTATTCAATTCTTGATGAGAATTCCAATTCCAGGGCCTAACTCTGACCTAGGGTATTTACCTTGGAAACAAGTGAATTTGCCTTTAATTTTGTTTAAAGGCTGTTTAATTTTTATGGTTTATAATTTTAAAATATTTTTTTAATTTAATCTACGTGGTGTGATATTATTGAATATGTGAGTCCCACATGTGTGTCACGTTAGCAATTTAACAGATTGTTGGACGGAAACTGACGACATGAACTACTTGTGAGCACCCATGTTAACTTTGAAGATCACGAATGACGCAAAAAACATAAAAACAAAAAGATGCAACCTAATAGTTTCATTAACCTCATGGAGGCTTTGCAATAACAAATCTTCTTTAAAATAATTGGAGGTCTAAAAACCACAATTGGGTGCAAAGAGATCACTTATGAGGTATTTACAAAAGGGTTGTTTCTCTCTCTACTCTCAAACATTCCATTGATTTTTCTTGAAATTCAAATTGAATTTTCAAGCTTGTGTAAGGCCCTTGCCAAAGGCTCGATTATAGCTGAAAGCAGGAGCCCAATTCCCTTGCTTAGGCTCAAGTAGGCCTAAGAATGTCCCAGTTGGTATTTGATTCCTTACTCCCAAGTGCAAAAAGAAACACACAAAAGTTTCTACAAATTTATGATCTTGCAACAAAATTTTCTGCTTCTTCAGTCCTATTACAAATTCTACCAATCAATTTACCATCTAATGCCATTTTCTCTGCTGCACATCTTTAATTTTCATTCAATTCGTTTTTTTCAATTATTTCTGATTGAATCATGGGCTAAAATATTTTTTATTTTAAAAGAAAAACGAGCGAAACCATTAAATTATCATTAAATTAAATTTTTACAAGGAAGGACCACGCAATAAACAAAGACCCCGACCGAAATTTCCCAAACAACGAAAAGTAAAAAGACAATTATAACCCTGACAATTTTAAACAATTCTCAGATCCTCTGCAGCTTCTCGCCCTTGACGACCGGGTTGGCCTTGGCGATCTGCTCCTTCCCCATCGCTCTGAAGTCGAACCCGCACGCGTGCTGCTCCGGGTACCGGTGGGTCCCACAGAACGTCATCCCGCACCTGCACTTGAACCCCGTCAATCCCACGCGCCGCCTGCACGTCGTGCACTTGTTCGCCTGCTTCGCTGCCGGCGGG